ATGCTGGGTAAGCCAGTTGGCTTGAAAGTTATGCTGGGTAAGCCAGTTGGCTTGAATGGTATGCTGGGTAAGCCAGTTGGCTTGAAAGGTATGCTGGGTAAGCCAGTTGGTTTAAAAGGTATGCTGGGTAAGCTTTGTTGCTTCGATCTTCAACCTAAATATACTGATAAGAAGGTAAAAATAGAGGCGGGACTCAAATAAATTTGAATTAAAATAAAACATAAGGAGACTTAGACTCCTTGCTCAATGATATATCGTTTATTCAGATCTTCTGGGTCCAAATTAACCAGCGGTTGTAGTAAGCAACCAACAAGCAATCCATTCACAAATGAAGAGTTCGATTGGTATAATAAAACACGACATGTTGCTCAATGTCAGAAAAAAAATCTAACATTGCATAACTGTCAAGTTCTATTTTTTTTGTCTTGCTGTTTTTTCAAGTTTGTCCTTACATTTATGTACACTTGACTTTTCACAAGTACAGTTTGTATTCATCAAGATAGGAAAATTAAACTGACGCCATAAATGACAATCCATCCGGGTTTTTTTTCAACGTCACCGTATGCAGTCATCCATAAAAAAGAGGCAGAATCACAGGCATTTGTTTCTATCCATGGGAAGAGCCACTATCAAAGTATATTTAGGAGTATATATACGTTGATAGTGGTTCTTCCTATAGATAGAAACAAGTGCTTGTGGGCAGAAGAATAATAAAGTGGGAATAAAAAAACCAGAAGTCGAATAAAAAAGATAAACAAAAGAGACAAACACCTGTACACAAAACAAAACACAGAAAACCATGGTGAGAACATGTGCTCCGGAAGGGTATTCAGTTCCTGTTCCTCAAATAATACTTTGAAGAGTTAATCAGGTTATAACGCATCAAACAATAGCAAATTAGACATTTTTTCTTATCTATCATAAGACATTACCACATTCATAAATCATCGTTCAGGTTTTTTTTTTAAATTATCTTACCTTTGACCGAATGTGAAAGTTGAAATGAAAACAATGTTTTCATTGACATCCTGGATCCGTGCCGGTTATGTAGTAATGTGTAATAAAATAGTACTAGTAGTTAATTTCGCCGCTGTGACATTGACCATATACATTTATGCCCCTTTTAAAGCAGAGGCAGTATTGTATATAGTTGCAGTCCTCTCGTTTTTTTTTTTTTATCTAGTATTGCTTTTCATATCTTTGAGTGTCTCTTTTTTTACCTGCTTCTAAATGTCGCGGCTAAGGTGGAGTATCTTATAGGATAATGTGAAATTATATAAAAATTACGTTTTGAGTAAACGTCAGTGTAAACTACTAGACTATGTATTCTCAATTTGAAAAACAATGCACCTAATGTTTTGCGGAAATGAATATTGAAGTTCCTTAACATATATACTCGAAACACGACTGGGATGAAATGATGGCAGTAAATGATACCTGTCAAATATTTTGGAATCTATTTGCAACTAATATGAGACAGAAACAAAAGAGAAAAAAATGTAATTAATAGGTAAAATTAGAGCCAATTTTTTGTCAAAATATATTGTCCTCTAATTTTTAATTTTCAGGAGCGCCCCCACCCTAACATCAATTCCTGGATCCACGTCTGATATGTATTAACGTGTATCAAAATTAGTTAATTTCGCCGCTCTGACATTGACCACATAAAAATTATGCCCCTTTTAAAGCAGAGGTGGTATTGTATATAGTTGCAGTCCTTTGGGGTTTTTTTTTTATCAAGTATTGCTTTTCATATCTTTGAGTGTCTCTTTTTTAACCTGCTTCTAATGTGTCACGGCCGATGTCGAGTATCTTATAAGATAATGTGAAATGCTGTGAATAGGGTAGATTACGAATTGTAGGTTTTGTTTATAATATTAGTTTTATGAGGGTCTGGATGGGGTTAACAGATTAAAGAACAATGGCCCATAAAATGATGAATAGAGAAAAATAAGAAAAAAAAATAAAGAATAGAGAATAATGGGATGCAAAAGTACAAATGTATAAAGAATATTTGTGGAAAGTAAAGAATTAAGTAACAAAATACTGATTACAGAAATAAATGATATACATAATAAAGAAATCAATTAATTACAGAAACCAATAATAGTAACACCAAGTTCATGAGAGTTTTACAGAAAAGTGTTATCTATAAAAATAAAGAAAATGCTTTAAAAATTTAAAGAATGCAGAAATTTAGGACCCCAATCAAGACCCTCCAGTTTTATAGTTTCTTTGTTTTTGTTGTTGACGTTTACGCCATCTTAATACTCATATGTATTGTTGATTTTCATTGTTATATCCATCACATAAAAGTTGTACTTTAGATGAAATTAATGGATGGTTGGATTGATGCTTCAGCGTCCAGTGGCAAATATTACGTGCATATATATCAGGACGAGAACGTGTTGATGTGTTGTTCATAAGAATACAAACCCTGCGAGGTACTATAGTGATCGAAACGATCAGTTGTGTTATAGTGTTCTTTTTATTTGTATTTGAATATTTTAACCTTTACTGTTTTAATTAGTCAATTTTTGGTAATATACTTTTGGCGTGGCTCGGTATTTATACATCCATTGTGTTATTGTGCTATGGTCATTTTAGTATTCTTGTCTTTCATTTTTGCTTATGTACTTTGTCCATAGAGTGTCTATATGCCATTTTGTTTTTCTTTGATGAAATAGTTATTTGTTTTTATAGTGATTAAGATTATAACACAAGAAGACCTTAATCATTTGAAGACGGTATGCTGGCTGTACTGTAATTCCTGTTGGGATTCTGTGTTCGGAGCGATTTTCTGCGGCCAAATCAACTTCATATTTTTCTGTCCTTTAGTTTAGCACTCGGAGAATATGCCAGGTCACCGACACCGTTAAAACGGATAAAATAGTCAACACAACAAAATAATAATGTCAATTATGAATGCGGTCTCCGTCTCAATTATAAACACAATGCGGTCTCCGTCACAATTATGAACACAATGCGGTCTCCGTCTCAATTATGAACACAATGCGGTCTCCGTCTCAATTATGAACACAATGCGGTCTCCGTCTCAATTATGAACACAATGCGGTCTCCGTCTCAATTATGAACACATTTTGAAGCGATCTCCGTCTAAGTTGCGTTCCGGCTATGGTTTTTCTTTATGATTCTTCATTAAAGTGGATCTTCAGTATATAATATTTCCTAAGATAGAATTTCTTACACTTTGCCAAAATGTAGATTTTACCATGCTTTTATCAAAAATATAATACAAAATATTGGTCAACGTGTTATTTTTCAAGCTGCAAATCGTGCAAAAATGCCTAATTTTGCAAAGATTATTCACGAAAAACACTTTTTTGTCAATAAAAGGAAATCTGTGAGATAGAATATTTAAAAATAAAATATGAGAAGATAGGTTTTATAATATGCTTAAAGAAAATAAAAATTTTACTATTAGACTTGTCTCCTTTTAAAAGGTTAAGTTGAAAAATAGATTCGAACAAAAACAAATATTTGGTATTACTTAAAACATGTACAGTCATAATTATGCAATAAATCACTTTTTCTTTCTTTATATAAATAAATAGTTTTACACTTTTATTGCCAATCTGTTTTAAAATTTGCAGATGTAAGCAAAAGAACTAGACCGATTGTATACTGCTATTTAACAATCCAAGATGGCGATATACAGTTGATATACCTTAAGTTTGAAATATGCATGTTTATCATCTAATCAGTCAACCAGTGTACTTACATATATATATATATAGGTATACAAATATTTGAATAGAGTAAAATCACCTGGTCATCCCGCTTCCTTGTTCAGCGAACGGTCATGTTTAAAATTAATATCTACGCCACAGTTCATTTTTGGGCCCTCTTCGCGGGCCGCGTTTAAACCCTATCGATTTCTATAAAAATCAGACAAAGTTTTGAGGGAAAGCGTCAAGGTTAAAGTGTATATGTGTAATAATATAAACGGTACCAATTTTATTGCACAAGATGCGCATTTCGACAAATAATGTAATTATCTAAATTGATGCTCGAGGCCAAAATATTTGAAGATCACCAAAACCTAGTAAAACAAACTTTGAAGAGCTGATAAAAATATAGCCAAATCTTGACGTGAAATCAGATCTTTGATATAGTTTGCATATATAAAATTGATACAAACAAATATTTGGGTAAAAAACGCGTGTTTATGCCCCACCTAGGGGCATTATGTTTTTCGGTCTGTGCGTCCGTCCGTCCGTCCGTCCGTCCGTCCGTCCGTCCGTCTGTCCCGCTTCAGGTTAAAGTTTTTGGTCAAGGTAGTTTTTGATGAAGTTGAAGTCAAATCAACTTGAAACTTAGTACACATGTTCCCTATGATATGATCTTTCTAATTTTAATGCCAAATTAGAGTTTTGACCCCAATTACACGGTCCACAGAACATAGAAAATGATAGTGCGAGTGGGGCATCCGTGTACTATCATGGACACATTCTTGTTTTTTAAGTAATAAGATTCGTTGTTATATTTCAAGCATATATATACTCATAAAAGTGAAATTTCTCCCTAAACAGTATATTTTATAAATCTCTACAAGTGTAAAATATGTGAACTATTTCCCTAGACTGTGTACAAACACTTTTTCACGAGGCTATTCTAATTTTTAAGTTAAGCATTAAACAATACAGAGCACAATAAAAATATACAGGACATAGAGTTCAATATCATTTTTGCATGATATTTACAGTATAAGATAACCCAAAATAAAATCGATATAATTTTTTTAAAAATCATGATGTAAAATAATTTAATTGGATAATTTTATCAATTTAAATACAATCATGATAAATTAAAATGATAAAACTTAATTTTTAATCCAAATTAAACTAATAAGTGACCATCACTGCTTCAATATGTTTCGTCTGCTGAAATTTAACCGTCTGCTGCCAGGTGTAGGATTTCCCCTCCTACAACACGCTATCATTCGTCCATCAATGTTTACTTCAACGCATTGCGCGTATTTAAGCAGAAATCTATATCAGACTTATCAAAAGTCTCAGATGATGTCGGTTTTAACAGAAAAATATAATTCTGCTGAGGATAATTATTTACAATTACAGGTAAGCGAATGCGGAAGTGTTATAATGCATAATAATTATTATCATTTATTAAATATCATAGATAATAAGCTTAACTATTCAGATATACTAGTTTAAATTACTTTTTTTCATTTCCAATTGTTAGTGAGCAATTATAATTATAATTGTTTATTGGGGCACCCACTTTTCATGTTTGACGGGGGTGTTTTTTTTTCTCTCTCAGGACAATCATTTTTTGTCGACTTTAATCAAGAAAAAACTATGAATTTTGTTTCAATACTATACAGGAACACGAGTGTCGAATGTATCACCCCTTTATTTTCAATGGAAACTGGCATTTTTTTTTCGCTTTCCTTTTTATAAACAAAACAATGTTCTTCTTTAAATGTAATTTAATTTATTTAAAACTATAAGCATGTCCCCCGCCCCCTCACACGATAAAATTTAGAATCACATAATGTATTTAAAACTATAAGCATGTCCCCCCTCCCCACACACCACACGATTAATGATCGGTGCTTTAAAGTTCGACTTTATCATTCCCTCTACTTTCTGAATTATAATAATAATGATGATATAATACTGATAACGATTATATTACATGTACGACAATGAAATGTTATATCCATTTTACCAGAAAATTGTGTTAGAAATGTCACGTATATTCTAAAAAGTAATAACATTTTTTTTACTGGCAAAAAGTTATATTAGAAAATGTATATCAATGATATTTTATCCATTGGACTTTAAATAATGTCAATAAACATTAAGTATGCTCTTAAAAGACTAAAATGATAAAAGTTTGTGTTAAGAATCGTCATATATACTTTTGTTTAACTAAATAAACGGGAAAAGTCTGTTGACTTCTTAAATAAACATTGTTAAGATAAGGTGCGTTCTAAAATGTGTATTTGTTATACTTTGAAAACTAATTGAAGTTTCTGGGGTAGATACTGTCAATAACATAACTACACAGATCACTATCATGTATACAGTGTTTATTGCTTTGTAATATGATAAATTATGGTATTGAATTACTTGAACATTCTTTATCATTATCTAAAAGATTTAATTTGCTTGCAATTTATCTTTTGAGATGGTATTCTTCTTCCGTTTGGTCTGTAATCGCTTTCTCTTTACCTTGAATCGTATTACGATTATAGTGTAAACACGCATCAATGTAACCAGGCTTATAATTTTGTACGCCAGACGCGCGTTTTGTCTACAAAAGACTCACCAGTGACGCACGATTAATAGCCGTTCAAAAAATATATTATCAACAATCGGAAATTATCGATTTGTAATCGATTGTTTTTATTAAATGATGTTGTGTTTAGCAATGACTATGAGAAATATATAGTAGACTCGGTTTATATACTCACTACCAGACAGATTTTTGTTATGTTGGGGCCTTTTATAGCTTGCTATGCGGTATGGGTTTTGCTCATTGTTAAAGGCCTTACGGGGACATACACTGAACACATGTATAAAATTAAGTAAAACGCTTAGTTGCTAACTTTTACGTAACTTGGTCTCTGGTGGAAAGTTGTCCAATTTACAATTATACCACATCTTATTTTTAAATAGAATGATTGTACGACTTGCATAATTTATATTCTTTCTCAATAATATTTTTTTTACTATAGCATGCGATTTTACTTTAGTCAAGTGAACATTACTTGACAAATTATGGTTTTATTTCCTGAATTTAGTCTGAAATCTTTACTTTTATATTTTGATACTTCACCATATGACTTTGTATTTCAGGACGAAATAACTAGGAAACAGAAGGAACTAGCTAAGAAAGCGGAAGAATATACGACGACAGTTGGTAGTTATACTGCCTGGAACACAAACGTAGATCTAGGACCTCCCGACTCCTCTGTCTCACTGACAAAAGATGACGTACATATCCAGGATTACTACAATGCTTTACAGTATAGCTTGTTTGAGAACAATCTACCCGAGACTATTGACAGAACGCAGATACCGAGAACACGCCACCCTGATACGGAAGTCGCAATTGTTGTTTTGGCATCACCGGTGGAATGTCTAGCGATACTGCTAGAAGGTGGGCGACAATGTCCGGGCCAAATGTTACTCGTGATGTCACCTACGTGGCTCATAAAGGATAAATCTAATAAAGGTGAAGGTCAACATTCACTTTTTGTCAAGAAAGCAATTGTTTTTGATCGTACGGGAACCTCCTTTATCGATGTTTTCGAGAAACCTAGACGGTGTACCTACTTTGTGAACTTCTTCACACGTGCATGTACTGATGGCCAACGAAATGATGGTGGGGATATTGAGTTGGATTTGGACTGCCCGATGTCCAGTTCTGTTGAGTTGTGCAAATACGTGGACGATAAAGTTTTGACTCGTATATGGATGGCGGAAGCGGGTGTGCATTACCCAGAAACACTAGCGGTTGTTTTTAAACCTGCGTATGAATACAATGTTCCAAATGATGCGAATATTGAAGTTATAGCTGTTGAAAATAAACAGGACGCAAAAAATACCATTGAAGACAAAGTTAAACATTTCCTGAAGTTAGAAAATATTCAGTCAATTGGAAAGGTAATCTATCTTGATTTGAGTTTAAAAAAAAATTGCTTTTATGTTTTTGTAAAAAAAACTTTCTCCTTCATCAGAATCATGTGCTATCTCTTTTATTATGTAATTATCCAGATATAAATCATAGACTGATGTAGATAAACTGATTTTATACTTAAAACTTCAAGATAATTCTGATCTTCAAGGGTCACCTGCTGCTTAAAGTCTTATCATCCATTTCCAGGGATAAGTTTTTGCAATTTTTTTTTTTAATTTGGCAACTGTTTGAATATCTAGAATTTTTAAGAGATCGGTTTTGTCTTGTCTTGAATTACCGCAAAATTGCAACATTTTCTACTGATAACTAAAACAGAGGAAAATAAACTATTAAACTAAAAAACACAAACAAAATCTCTATGTGGAGTGTTTCTGTTATTAAAAAAGAAAATTAAAAAAAAACATTCGTGAATTACATGTTTAACCTCAACCATGAATATAAAATTTCAAACATAAAGGTTAATTACTATGTGTGCAAATATGACCTTTCAAAAACCTTGATTATTCTGGATTTTACCAATGATCTGAAAAGTGGAAGAGTTGCTGAAAGGGTTCTTTAACGCGGAGGGAGCTTAGCGGTCTCTCTTCACGAGACCTCGTTCCCATTCTGACTGGACGTGAACTAAAAAAGAAAAGTCATGAGTAGAAACAATACATATGGGTGTTGGTAGCTGGTTATTTATATATTTTATAACATTTCACATGATTTAAGAGTTTTAAATCAGATTTAAATGAATGTATCAATTATGCCGTGGCTAATTTTTCTACATTCATCGTCCTGAACATGCATGAAATATTTGCCAATGGACACTAATCAAACAATCAAGCAACAAATCAAAATATTCAGACGTAATGTTATTTTTATTTTATTAGATCGTGGTAAAACCCTCTGGTATTATGTGGCATGGTAGCAGATGTGTTTCGTTCCACGAAGTGACAAAAGTGGAAGAAATTTGTAAAGCTGTGACGGACTTATTAACCATATTGGAAGTAGAAAATGCAGTTCTGATCGAGGCATTTTATCACCCTGTAGAATCAACAAACCCAAAATTAGGTAATAAAATCAAGGTCATATCTTAAAACATGTTATATGATATACGCAGAAAAGTGTCAGTCCCTCAAACGTGTCCAATCCTCAAAACGTACTGTATGCCGGAACATGTCTCAATTATGTTCGACGCATAAACGTGTCCTTACACTAGCACCCAATCGTGTCAATGTTTGTAAAAGTTTATGAAATCAAATAAATGACTTCAAAACATGTCCATGAAGTATTTATTGAGACATATGCAAGATACAGTATTAAATGCGGAACATGGCAATTATCTTACTTGATAGGATTTGTGCAATAAATAATTAATAATTAGAAATGTAGGTGTCAACTTTCAGGGATGTTCACCAAATAGTTCCACTTGATGCATTAAAGCAAATGCGAAGTACTCCGTATAATTCTGTATAGACGGTATTGTGATGTTTTTTGCAGTATAAAGCAAGCTTACGTGTATCATCAGAGGACATACAACATTACCGACGTCCGAGTGGTCAATTTATTGCTTAAAGTTGTGATTTGTTGTTGCTAGGTAATAATTTGGACACGGTTGATCGAACACGTTTTGATGATATGTGATTTAAAGGACACGCTTGAGCAAAAAGGACAAATGTCGGCGAGTTGGACACGTTTGAGCGAAATGGACAAATTTTGGGGAGTTGGACACGTTTGTGGGGATTGACACGTTTGAGCAAAATGGACAAATTTCAGCGAGTTGGACACATTTGTTGGGATTGACACGTTTGAGCAAAATGGACAACTTTCGGCGAGTTGGACACGTTTGAGCAAAATGAACAAATTTCGGCGAGTTGGACACATTTGTGGGGATTGACATCTTTGATGGTGTAACACATATATGAATATGCAGCGCACCGCCTGTACATGCATTTCCTGTAATAAAATCAAAGACTAGATTAGGTATACGTCAGTGAGACAGCAACCCTAGAACAAAAATTTATGAAGACATCGCGAGTTCATCAAAGTTATTACGGTCTTCAACAAAATACAAAGTGCCTATATAATACATACATGTATGTATGTCAAGTTAATTCCCATCGATAAAAATAATTTTAACTGTAACAGTACCTGAATTTGAAAATGTTTACATATAAATACAACTTTAAAAATGTTGTGTTTCTAAAGCATTATAGGATTTACCTTCATCAGGATTGCTCAAATCAAAGTTTTTTAAAGCTATGGATGAGGGTACGGATGGGAGGGGGGGGGAGGTTGGTCCGTCATTTCTGTATTCTATAATTGTTCGCTCATTATTCTTTATCTTTAAAAATAATGGCTATTCTGTAATTACTTGATAACTGTATCCTGGATATAGTTGTTCAATGTAATCAGTATATTTTTACCCAATTCTTTAACTTTTGCATTTATTCTTTATATTTTAGCACCCAATTATTCTCTATTCTTTATTTTTTTTTTGCCCATTTTTCTCTTTTCTTCATTTTTTTTTGCTCATTATTCTCTATTCTGTAATTCCCATCCACACCCTCATGGATGTATAAATTCTGGAGTATTTGAGGAGCTATACGACCAAAAAGGGACATACAAAGAATAGCCAAACTGATGAAGTTTTTATTGTATTTTCGGGTATGTTATCCTCATTGACGACTCAATATTGCCGCTGTCAATACCAATATTATATTCCCCTACTCTATGAATGGTGAATATTATGCTGCATTCAACATCGGCCCGTTTTCCAACAAATATTTTTAACACTTTTCTCAGGTACAACAATCAATTATATGTTGAATAAACTTACAATTTTCGTAATACATTTCTTCAGTACTACTACTTAACGAAATGTCTCAGTCATAAATATTTGGTCAACAGCTTGACAGTTGATTAGTTGTACCATGGTAACATGTTAGGGCTTTTTTGATTGGTCGCACCCCTTAATCCTGTTTTTGCGGAGATTTTAATTACGAGTCTATGCTAAGCACGAGATCCGTACAACTTCTTGTTTCATATTAGACTTGATATAACTGCCTACCATGAATAACGTTGAACTTGACTATACATGCATGGTTAGGGAGCTGCCATTTGATTTTTATGGGGCTAGGATGAAAAATTTTGTCCTGCATTTTTTTTTAGCTGTATTCTCTGTCCTGCCTTTTTATTTTTCACTCTATTCGGTCCTGCCTTTATTTTTTTTAGTTTTATTCTGACTTTTTTAAATTGTCATCCTGCCTTTTTTTTTGCAAAGTGGCTCATCCTGCCTTTTTTTTTACTCAAAACTCCTGTCCTGCCTTTTTTTCAAATTTCATCCTAGCCCCCCCCCCCCCCCCCCCCCCCCCCCCATAAAAATCAAATGGTAGCTCCCTTAACATAAACAATCAATCTTTATAGATGATTACTCGTTCAGACTGAGGACAAATGTGTGTAGAAGAATAGACGATACGCCAATTACAACACAGATGGTTTGTGGGATAGGTTTGAAAAATCAGCCGATCAATGGCGACAATACTATTCCCCATTCATTTGAAACAACAATGAAAATGTGGAATATGGATCAAGCTGAAATAAAGCGACTACTGAATACTGTATCCAAAGGTTCGAAAAAGATCATGAATAGTATTATTGAATTTGAACGTACGCTTTCAGCAGATTTAAGAGGAGGTGTCGGAGCTCAAACGGATCTTATCGGTATGTCTTTTTCTCTTCTTTTAGTATTTGTAGTGTATCATTGATGCATACATATTCTATAGGACTAATACAACTGAAATTATGTCTTACAAATCAGACAAAATCAGTTTTCTTAGAAATGTTGTTTGTCTTTTTCTTTTTTGCCATGGCGTTGTCAGTTTAATTTCACCTTATGAGTTTGAATTTCCTTTTGGTTTCTTTCGCCTCTCTTTTCTATTCACAATGCATCTTATTACTGACCCATATATTTCAACTATTTTGTAGACTAATGAATGTGTTTACTTTTGTTTATAATATTTGAGTTCGTTTCCTCAATACCGAAGCTACACCCAGCAGGGATTTAGGCGAGGTTCCGAATAGAGAATTAATTCATGACCAAGAAGAGATGTAAACTGTTTTTAATGAGACCAAAGCAACAGCAATTATAATGGAGTATGATAAATTGTCAAATATATATTGTTTCAATTATTCATATTCTCGTATGATCATCCTTTAAAAGAGGGACGAAAGATACCAGAGGGACAGTCAAACTCATAGATCGAAAACAAACTGACAACGCCATGGTCAAAAACAAAACGACAAATAGACAAATATTAGTACAGATGACACAACATAGAAAACTAAAGACTAAGCAACACGAACCCCACCAAAAACTGGTGTTTTTGAAGTTTTGGTACGTAATATTTAGTTCAATAAAATGCATAAATGACAGCATCGTGAGCAATATCATGTAAATGTTTGTTTGTATGATGGTCTTTGTTAAATTTATTAACTTGTATAGACTCCGAATGTATAGAGCTTGTCATATCAAATAGACACTTATCTGTTGCCGATGACCTATGTTGACCTTCAGATCTCCTTTAGGTTTTTATGTTATTGCTTTGGTGTTTAAATTAAGGTATACCATACATCTCTTATTTCTCAATTACAACATTTTCGGCTTTTTAGTGTGACAAATTACGTGTAACTAAGAAAATATTAATACTTGCATATGCAATAGTTAATGCATTGCCTTATTTGGCTAAACCGATCTGAAAAAAATTAAAAAAGAGTAGTTAATATATCAAGGAGACATTCATTGACATTCAAAACCCATAAGTCATTTGTAAGTCGAGGAAAAACAACCGACAATGCCATGGCTGAAATAGTAAAACGACGTAAAAAGAACAAACAAGGTCACAAGACACTCACTGTTTAGAAAACTAAAGACTGATCAACACATCCAGAAGAAGAACCGGGCCGTAATCACAGGTGCTCCTGCTCACATGTGACACTCGTCATAATACTCCAAATAAATGCAAATGACATCAAAGAAACTAGAACATTTCTCTGAAGTTTCCAGTCAATTCTTGTACTATATTATATTTGATAGTTTGTAATTATTTCTGATAGGTATAGACTATGTTCTTGGAATGGTAAACGGACAGATGGAAGCAGTTGGAATAGAAGTGAACAGTCATGATTGTACAATCAATTGTCAGTTATTCGAATTCTTGAACCCCCATAGACAGGGAGAAGCAGTGAAACCACTAGTAGAGACCATGATCAGACGTTCTCAGATGTTTGCGATGCAAGACAAAACTGTTCTTGTTATCGGGGCTGGAGGTTTCAGCAAAAGGTTTATTTGGGACAGCTATAAATCTTTTGGTCTCAATGTAAGTCATTTGTCGACATTACTTTTAATTTTTAAAGTGTGTTTTTTACTTCTTCGAACTTACGGATTTGAGTCCGGAAGTATTTTTAATATCAATGCCATTTGCTTTTCAAACCTTTTGGTTCCGATCGAGCGTACCCTATGAATATGCAATAAAACTTGACAATCGCAAAGCGTTCTTGTATTCTATATATACATCATTGTGTAATCTGTTTAATCTGCCGAAGTGTTCCGAAGTGTGCCGATTGGTTGTTTGTGTTATTATGCTAATTTGTAACGCCTATAGTTGAATAACGCCTATAGTTGAAATACATGTATACTATAGATTTTCAATGCGCTTCATTTAAAAGATTAACTACTTTTTTAAATTATTTTGCTTGAATGCAAGTATTTTGAAGGCTGAACGCAAATATGTAATTCATGATAACGGACTGTTAATGTCATGCGTACACCAGGACTTAGGTGTTTTTGATACCTAGAGCAAAAATTGTAGCCTCATTTCCAAAACTGACATGAATTTACTTTGAAAACATCAAAAAAAATCTGTATTTTCTTTGAATTTATATTCTAGGTTGTATTAGTTGATCCTGACGATTCGACTTATGCTGCATCTAAAGCTTCACATTTTATTCAGTACAATTTCCTCGACCACAAACATGACCAGGACCATGCTACAGACATTATAAACATTCTAAACAAGAGAGGGTTGACGGTTAATGGCTGTGTTACCTTTTGGGAAGACTGTGGTCCTTTAGCAGCAACAGTTTGCGAAACACTGAAATTAAATGGACCAGGAAAGCAAGCAGCCCAAATTGCCAAAATGAAAAGCTGGACACATAACGTATTACGAACAAAAACAGGAGATATTCCACATTTTCCCAGAACTCATCTTTATACCAGCAAGTGTCATCAAGTTAAACGTGAGTCGGACATAGATAAGGCCATAGACCACGTAGGGATACCAGCAGTATTAAAATTAGAGTATGGGTCTAGCGCTGTCGGAGTTAAACCAGTCCGCGACCGTATACAGTGTACCAATACATACCAAAAAATAAAACATCATCTTCGATCGGAGGCGGATCACCCTGGTATTGGACTCGGATATGGAAACGACATCATGCTGATGGAGAATATCGACGGCACAGAACATGACGTTGATGTCGTTATCTTCCAGAGGCAACTCATTACTGCATTTGTCTCAGATAATGGACCAACTAGAAATGAGTCGTACACAGAAACAACGGCCTTAATGCCAACATGCTTACCATTGGATAGAAAAGGACAGCTTATAACCGCAGCATATCAGTGTTGTACTGAAATTGGACTCGTTGATGGTGTTTTTAACGTTGAAATGAAAATGACAAATACAGGGCCAAGATTGATTGAAATAAATGCAAGAATGGGTGGTTTTTATCTGCGTGACTGGATAAAGGCTTGCTATGGACATGATATCTTACTTTATGCATTCATGATTTCATTAGGAATTAGACCAGTGATTTCAAATAATGAACCAAGTTGCACTATACTGGGAACAATGTGTGTTCCATCCGCACACAAACAGCAATTGAAAAATCCAAACAATTTGAATTTGTTGAATACACTGATTCAAAAGAACGCTGTACGGTATAACCAGATCGAGGCTTCCTTGGAAGATTGCGGAAGTTCAGACGAGGAAGAACCGTTTTGCAGCATTGCAGTTGAGGACTTAAATTTGAACACGAAAAGAGCAAAAAGAAAATTAATCAATATCTGCACTACACTTGGCCTAAATACAAAGACATATGACTTAAATTACTTACTGAGTGATTTCAAGGAATGATTTACCCAACGTAGTCTGTTTAGACTGATTACCACGTGTACATTTATAAATTTGTTTCTTTGGTAAAAGGGACACTAGGAAAAGGGGACCAGTTTAGTCAATAATTATTTATCGATTTAATCATTGTCATTATAGGACTGTACAAAATTAGGATATTTTTCTTTACATAATAATTTTGACAATAGCAATCTTCTTCATCAATCAACTATGCCTTTACGTCTCATTTGTATTTAAATTAATGTGCTCTTTTCATAATTTTATAACATATAGTTCAAAAAGCTACTTTGTAAAATCTTATAAAACCATTGTTATTTTTTCATAGTTTTTTAAAAAAAAAGGTGGCAATGTTAAATGTATGAAAATTCTAGAGAGAATCATTTCCCGCATAATTTTCAATTGACAAGGATACATTCTTTTCATTTTTTCTGCTTTGAAGTTCCGTTATTTATAAACTATCAATGTATAACAGTCTTTTAAAAAGCTTGTCATTTTGAAACAGAGGAGTGAACATCCTTAATGTAGATCACTAACATACTTGATTAAGTCGAATCCAAAAAGAAGTTAACAATATGCATTTTATGTTTGAACAAGAATGACAAAGGCCTTCATGTTTGCTTTTTTATGTCCATAGACGTTTCACGATATTTGGATCTAGGAACATTAGTTCCATCTTGACATTGGCGATTTTTTTTTTTAATTTCAAAACATGAATATGTTATTACAATTCTCCAATTTTGCGCGTTTGATCTTTTTACCTTTACAACATTTTTACAACTGTTCGGTTCTTAATGGCATTGTGCATTTTGATTTTAGAGATTTTTTAATTTTTAACTAATAGTTACAATGTATGGTTCTAACATCGTTACAAATTACACTATTCAGATTCTTTCGTTCAATCTCGTCATGAGAGCTAGCTGCCAGGACTACAATGTAATTTTGTTGAATTTAATACGATTACAAATAGTGACTTACAATGGTATTTTCAACCTCGGTGTTACAAACATTTTCCTCTACTTGATCTTTACAATTTTAATACAATGTACATGTATGATTAGAAACACGGTGCATTTTAGGTTTGATCATTTTTGAAGTTGTACTTTCCAAGTATTTGAAGTTTTTTTTGTCAAAATTTGTACAGTATCATTAAAATATCATTTATGTCAATCGAATAGAGAATCCACACTAAGTCAAACTTCCGGAGTTAATACGAGCATGTTAGAAGATGCCTGCTTATATGATTGCAACATAGCTTTATGTACAAGTATATCATAATAATAAGTTATAACGAATTATGATATAATGATCTTTCATTTTGAAAGTGTAATGTACTTTTCTGATTTTTGATAGTTACAGTTTACTTTTCTTGAGGAAATTGACATGTGTGGTTTAAAAATGACAAGTGACATATCATACGGCCATTACGCACATGTATCTGTTTTGACTATCATATATTTTATGTTACTAATCAGAAAAAACTGAATCTGATTTTTCTTAAAATCACTGTTATAACCAGACAACACATCATTAAATGTTGCTTCCGGTGTAGGTTTTGTTATGGGTTGAGCAAGAACATTTCTTTGCCATTTGGAATATCTTATTTCACCAATGAATTAATTCATGAAACAATAATGAACGTACATGTACATGAATGGAGGTGGAAAAAATTAAAATTAGTTTAAAAAAATGTTTTTGTTGTTGTTATTACTGTTTATTTGAAGTTTAAAACAAGACATCTAAAATATGACCGCTTTGTCCAATTGTTGTTGTATTAATTTGACGTTATCTGAATTGATCGAGAAATATAAAAAAAACGGGGAAAAGTTTATCGGAAATAAACGATTAATACAGGCAAAAAAAAAAAAAAAACACCAATAATAAAAATATTAAATAAAATAAAACAGAAAATGTTTTATGAACCAAACAAACACCAGACAAAATATGTTCCGTCATATGACTGAATTAAAAATATGCAACCATAGAAGACACAGAGAATGTATGCCCTGGCGGTCGAGTATCATAAAACTTTCAGGTCAGGCCGGGTACATTGAAAAAACGGACAATTTGACGACAGGTAATCCAGTGATGTTTAGTCTTGTTGTTAAAGAAAATATACAAGTAAATCGACTAATCTATTGTTTATTATAATTCCATTCCAGGCGAATATTTATATAATATACAGTTTACAAAATGTATGATTCAATGATTCATCGGTACATTACTTTCACAAGTTATCACAAACGGATTTCATTACATTCCGTATAAAAAAGAATTAGCAGCAGTGTCCAATACTGTGCACACAAAAAATATCAAAACAAAATACAAGTGAATAGTAATAAAGGACAACTTTCTATGAATCTATAATGGTCCTCCCAAGATCTGCCAAAATCTGCATAGAATAACAAAATCCCTTTTAACGTTTCATATTGTATTGTTCCTTTCTCGCCTTCAATTCTTATCAACACTAAAACAGGGGCCCTTATATACCCATCATCTCCACATATTCTCCAACTGACCTAAATAATCTCCAAATATTCTCCAACTGACCTAAATAATCTCCAACTCTTTGTTTTCAAAAACAAAACATATAAATGATATAAAAATATTTACTATGTGACCTAGAGAACATGCTATGCTAATCTCTTTTTGCAGGATAGCCATTTGACTTAATGACTTTAACAGACCATAACCAAAACTTTAATATGACAAAATTAATTACAGTGGAAGATAAAATAACACTCTAACATGAACATGGATGCTTCTGGAATTTCAGACGCACTTCCGGAAAATACGTAACCGTCGAATTACACATCAGGACGAAAAAACAAGAATAGTGCTATTTCGTATCAATATTTCATCGAATGCATCAACACATCTAATTATATTTATCATCAAATGTGTACTTACATGAGCAACACGACGGGTGCCACACGTGGAACAGAATATCTTCTTTCCATTCCGGAGCACATGAAATCACACCTGGTCTTTTGGTTGCCGAGTTAGTGTTGCTCAGTTTTAAGTTATCCATGTTGAGTTTTATTTACCGTTTGTCCTTTTGTATTTCTGTTTTTGTTTTGTTTTTTGCCATGGTGTTGTCAGTTTGTCTTCGACTGATGAGTTCGAATATCCCTTTGGTATCTTCTGCCTCTCTTTTAATATATTTATATACATGTAGAAAGAACGTATAAATGGTCATTTGTGTTGAAGCTAATGTATCGTATAATGTACGGGTCAACCCACTTTGGATTGTTTCTTAAAAGATGGATATGATGATTTCAAATAAGCGGTCAAGGGAAAATAACGAACATCAACCTGGATATTTTGATACCATTTTAAATACCAATTATTGTTGTTCGGTCTGTAGTTGTTTTTTTGTTTTTGTGTTTTGAGAACTTGTTTGTCGTTTCGTAGTCTTTCGGTGTTTGCCGTGGTGTTGGTTGTCAATTTCTCTCGATTTATTAGTTTTAAATGTCCTCTTGATATCTTCCGACGTTTAGAATGTGTTTTGCTATCAAAATTAGAGTGCTTTGTGCTATAATGCTAAAATGTATGATGTTTTGTACTTTAATATTAAAAATTTGGATGTTTGGTTCTATCTTAGATTATATAATTGAGGTAATATTTTAAAAAGAAATATAATCTTATATTTTAGTTTTACATATCCTTGAACGATCAAATTAAATATAACAACAGGTTTGTTTATGTCTAGATCCTCAGATCTACAGGGTTTCTAAAGCAGCGTCTGGAAGTTTGATATTGTATTACTAAAATATAAGATTATATAACAGATATAGAATTTTTTTTAAATATTTTTCAAAGTACACTTTAAGTTCAATGTACACACATCTCTATTATCACCTCCAGGTTTAAATATATATATATACTATTTTTATAAGAATGTTTTCGAATCACGACTTCAGTTGGTAAACAACACAGATAAAAAAAAATAAGTGCACGAATGAATCAATTTCTACAATAAAAGAAACAGGATTTTCGTTTTACCATAATATAATGGCACTTTTTAAATGTTCTTGCGTTCGAAGCGCTTTTCTGTGTATAGCGTCACCAGGAACGATCAAACCCAAGCATTTGATTGACAGGTAGCATAAAGACGTAGAAACGCTAGGAGCTATAATGACTAAACGGGATTTAAAATGCTATTTATCAAAACAAAAGCATTTTTAAAAAAGTTCATTACGTTTAATTCTAGAACAATAACACACACAAGAACGTGCATACTTCTTGTACAGTCAAATTTCTTACATTTTTTCTGTTGAAAACATATGGATAGGTAACGACCATTTAACTTTGAATCCAGATTTTCCCCATACCTTTTAGTGTTGAATATTGAAAAAAATAATTTGATTGATAGCATTGAAAAACTAAATAAAATTGATCGCAAAAAAAAATTTCTGACTCAGACAAATAACCATACCCCCCCCCCCCCCCCTTTTGAAGTTAAACGGTTGCTCCCTTATGCCTGTATAAAGTTTTTTTTCAATTCAAGTCATGCGAAGCAACACCTGGGCCCTGGGTCATAAAACTTTACCCAGTACTAGGGGTGCCGGAGTACAAAATTTGTTCTCGAAACACCAAATCCAATAATTTGATTGGTAGATTTCTGAGTCTGAGTACCATAATCATGCTTGGAAATTTTATGACCGCAAGGCCTTATCTCTCCAACCCAAAAAATTTCTAACAAAAAGCTTCCACTCGTTTGAAATCGTATACCACTTGTGTTTGGTGCATTCAGATTTGAAATCTAAATGTTTATACACGATCTAAACAGGTAAATTGTACCAGTTTTCTTAGGCATATACTTCCATATGATTAGGACAGTTTATAACTCTGTTAAACAATTTAATTACGGTATAACACATCTGTAATTTCGCTATAGTTATAACTTCGACGAGTAGGCGATTTACGATGGATCTGAATGTTTATCAGATTGTCTATAGAAGTACGAGATGCAACTTTAAAAGCAAATTAGAAACCTTCACATTGTACTATGTAAATAGCAAAATTATTATTCTTTTACGTTTTCTCCTCATATCAGACTAATATCATATCTAGCTCCTCATAGCACACTTTATTTGTTGGTCATATAGCGCTTTACGTTTTCAGGTATTTATACATCCTTGGCTTTCAAATGTTGAGTTTAAGCGATCCTGAGGAAGGTTAAAATTCAGAAAAGCGCTTTGGACGCATGGAATTTAGTATGTGATATTTTCATTGACAAGTGTTTGCTTTGGTATATTTTTAAACAAACAGAAAGTGATTTAGTACACAAAGTATTTAAAATGCAGAAAGGCAAGAAGAGAAAATTAAAGATAAATAGCCTACATCTGCTACATGTAACAAGATTTCTTTAATACTCATATTTAAAACTCGTGACGCAGAATGAACAATGTCTTAACATTTTACTTTTGCTGAATCTCAAACAAGTCATGTTAAGTGAAATACATTTCAACTCGGTAAAAGGCGTTTATAATAAAAACAAAACTCGCCACATTCTTTGTACAAGTAACACGTAGTTCATGGATCGTATTTGCTTTCCCCTTAGTGAGGTTCTAGATAGGGGAGGGGGAGGGGGGGGGGGGGTTACTCCGTTTCCTTATTCTTTAATTTGTTAGACCATTTTGTCTATTCTTTATCTTGTTTGTCTATTATTCTCCATTCTTTACATTTTAGAACCCCATTTTTCTCTGTTCTTTATATTTTTTGGCCTTTGTTTCGCTATTATTATTTTTTTCGCCCTTTATTCTGCACTCTTTGTCCATTACTCTCGATTTTTAAAACCCCACCAAGACCGTCCTTAGTGTGACTGTGTCATTAGCAAAAACCAGGTCTTAATTTATCTCTGTTTCGCATTTAGTCACCCGGGGCCTATAGGTTGCACTTTGTAAATACAGCTGTTTCTCAAACCACGCCTCTTTTGGGGAGATATATAATATTCATAGATATGTTAATTTGTTAATGTACTGGTTCCCATTTACGATCTCTGTGTTTCATCTCATAGAGACATCACTTGGGAATGTAACCAGTATAGAAAAACATGGTAGCGCCTAAATTTTAATTCTTAGGAGGTCCAAATATGAAGGTAAGGGTAGTATATAATTTTAGCATTAGTTTAAACTCTTAGAAGTTCAGGGCATATAAATGTTGAAAATATGCCGCACAGCCCTATATTTTGACCTTTGAATAAAATAGTAGTGCATATAAACTTTCCGTTCTGGGATATTATTTTTCACGAAACTTCATAGTAAAAGTGTCACAGTTTTAGCCGCAAAGGGAGTTCCTATGGGAAATTGCATTGTCTATAGTTACAGAATTGCAACCTTTATTGATTACTACAATTTGCTCATTGTTAAAGTTCTAAAGTTGTTACTGTTGACATTTTCGTTCTTGTGTGTTGTGGTTCATAGTTATATCATTGGCTATCATACCACAACTACTTATTTTGAAATCTAAAGGGATAATAAAACCGACATGAAAAACAGGCAACATAGTCGTCTCGTTGGCTATCATACCACAACTGCTTTTTATAAATCTAATTTGTTTTTTAAACCGACATGAAACGGGCAAAAAGCATCCCATTTGACTACCATGCTACAACTCCTTATTTATATAACCAATGGCCTTTTACAACAGATATACATGTATAATAACAAAAGAACGGAAAATATGAGCAGATAAATCACAGCATAGTTTTACATACGTGCTAATAGAGGTAACCGGTGAGATCAC